GCAGAAATTAAACAGTAGGTTTGGATCCAGTATCTACAAATTACATAATCTAGTTAAAGCTTTGTTTCCTCATATTTGTGACAGCTAATAATTCCAACCACATTAGTGTACTTTCAATTACCTAAATGAGATACTGTGTGTGTGTAAAGTACCCAGCGCAAAATCAGCATACAATGAAAATAAGTTCTCACTAAATCATACCTGTAATCATCTTTATTATGTCCAAGTGCCTGTCCTAGTTGCTGACTTATAATAGGTTAGTATTAAGATACTGGTTAAAATTGACAATTAAATTGGGGTTGTATTAGGATTAGTAGTTAGGGTCTGTAATAAATTAGGGTTAGGACTGAAATTAGAATTCAATTAAAGTTAGAATTAAAATGCAGCCAGAGGTTATTATTAAGGATGGGGTTAATTAAAACTGGATAATAGAAGCAAGAAGCAGAATAACGAGTACTGGTTTAGTTGGGTGGAAAACGAAAGAGGAAAACAATGTGGAAACCTATGTAGAATTCACTGATAAAGAAAAAGTCATATAGGGAAGAAGGATTAGACTGCAAAGCAGAAGTGAGCCAAGTCTTCTGAGTTTTTTCCCCCAGGTGCTGGCATCCCCCTCCCAGATGAATATGTAGTATTCACCCCACTCAGGCTGAGTTCCTTCCCCTCCTTCCACAGGAGCAGTGTGGGGAAAGGAATGCCCAGGGCCCACACAGCTGCGTCGTGCCCAGCACCAGAGCCAGCTCCACATTCCACACCCCCAGCTACCCAGGCTGTTGCTGAGTGGACAGGGGCATCCAGGAGCCAAAACCCGCCTTCTCTTCACTCCCCTTCTCTGCTCACCCCCCCCCCCCCCATTTTCACTGTAGCCATCAGTTCTTTAATCCCACAGACAACCTACTACAGATTTTGTGCAAGTCCCTGAGAAACACATATTGTACATCATAGCATTTTAGAGTGGTAAATAACCATAGAAATCACGATCCCACATGGATACTTTTATTTTACCTATTTTTATGATGGGAATAATCCTTGTAGGTCAGTCTTTCTTTCTTTGTAAAACTCTATTCCTAGTGAATAGGGTGCCTGTAAGAAGCTGGATGCACATGTACAAGGGGCATTAGAATGACTAAAAACAAAGAGTTATTCCAATGGAGACGTCCACATCTGTAGGAAAAACTATGCTTTCACTCTGAGCGATGAAGGAGTGAGGAATTCCTCAAATTGTACACTGCTGGGGAGTATTGGGAGTGAGTCCCCTTATTCCTCTTGCCTGCAGGGGTACTATGTGTCTCCCCTATCCAACACTGGTAACCTGTTACTACACAGCTTTGTGAACAAAGAAAGTCACTTAACTTCTCTGAGTTTCATTCTCTTCATCTGTTCAACAAGGGGTATTAATTAGGTAATCTTGAAGGTACCTTACAGCTCTAACACTCCTTTATTCTATCATTCTAAAAGCCAATGACTGTTTCTTATTCCCAGGGCCTAAAGTGCTGCCAAACTGATGCTGACGATGTGGGAAAGGGAAAGGGAGCCAGGAGGAAAAGAGGATTCCAGAGTCTCATTTGCTTGCTTTTAATACTCTCTCCAAAACAGCTCTTCTCCTCTCCTCCCACCCTTGGTTCTCTGCCTGTGCAGTTCCAGTGCAGGGTGAGGCCAGACCAGCAGAATCATTAAGAGAATTAAGGGAAGGGGTGACCGGTTAGTTCAGTTGGTTAGAGTGGTGTGCTGAGAACACCAAGGTTGCCGGCTGGATCCCAGCATGGGCCACTGTGAGCTGCGCCCTCCTTAAAAGAGTCAACTATGGGCCAGCTGAGTGGCGCGTTGGTTAAGAGCTGGCTTGGGACACCAGAGGGCCCCGGTTCGGATCCCACATATGAGGGCCAGTGACACTGCCCTCTACAGCTAGGATGCTGAACAACAGCTCAACCTGGAGCTGGGCTGCTGTGAGTCGCTGGCGACGGGGTCACTGCAACCCCTGCTGCAGTGGGTTGCCATGGGCTACCGTGTGTAGCCAGTAGCCAGCGTGAGCGGCCAGCAGCCGCAGTGAGTGGCCGTCCAGAAGCTGGTGACTGATCTGCCTCACCCGGGAAGAGCGCAATGACGGTGCCAACTTGGGCCAGTGAAGCAACATCCTCCACAACTTGGGCCAGTGAAGCAACATCCTCCACAACTAGACTGAAGAACAAAAGGACAGCAACTTGTCTGTTCCCCTTTCCTGATTCCCCAAAAAGCTGTTCCCCTCCCCCAACTCCCCCCAAAAAATCTTAAAAAATAAAAGAGAGTCAACTATGCCATTGTAGCATGAAAGCAGTGATCATGGCTGTTTCCCAATAAAGTTTAAAAGCGGTGGTGGTGTGGGGGGATGAAGGAAAGACAGGCAGAAGAAGACCACTGTAAAGCAGCAGATATAAAAGATGATTAGTTAGAAGTACTTGGGAGGTACTCCATCCCACAGCCTGTTGCCCTCATCCCACCCACCCCCACCCCACACTAACCTGTCCTCTCTTAAGCCCACTTACATGACCTCTAAGGTTTCTTCTAGCTCCAAAGGAAATACTCTTTATTCATCAAGACACTTTAACTAGGATAGCCCAATCCTTCCCCTTTGAAGCCCCATTCTCTTTTTGAAAACATACCCACTCCTTGCTTTTCTCTTCATGAATTAACTTATGCCAACCTGGTGCCACCTCTGTCAGAAAGTCCAGTCTTCCCGTTATCTTCCCCTCCCCCATACCAGAGTCCATCCTCCCCTCTCTCTTATATGCAGGTCTCCACATCCCTCAACCATACTACTCCCTCTGTCTTCGTCTCTGAGATTTCAAGATGCCAGAGAACCCAGGAAAGAGGAATGGTTTAGAGTCACTGAGATGTATCAAGGCAGGCAAGTCAGGCAGCCCAAGGTGGTCAAACACTGTCCTGCCAATAATTCTTTTTGTTTTTTTAAAGATTTTTATTGGGGAATTGGGGGAAGGGAACAGTGCTGGGGAATCGGGGGACGGGGAACAGACAAGTTGCTGTCCTTTTGTTCTTCATCCTAGTTGTGGAGGACATTGCTTCACTGGACCAAGTTGGCACCATCATTGCGCTCTTCCCGGGAGAGGCAGATCAGTCGCCGGCTTCTGGACGGCCGCTCACTGTGGCTGCTGGCCACTCACGGAGGCTGCTGGCTACACACGGTAGCCCATGGCAACCCACTGCAGCAGGGGCTGCAGCCTACTCCATCACCAGAGACTCAGGGAAGCCCAGCTCCAGGTTGAGCTGTTGTTCAGCCTCTTGGCTGTAGAGGGCAGTGTCACTGGCCCTCATATGTGGGATCCGAACCGGGGCCCTCTGGCGTCCCAAGCCAGCTCTTAACCAACGCTCCACTTGGCTGGCCCCCCTGCCAATAATTCTTAATAACTACCCAGACACTCAGGAAATGTTCAAGAGGCAGGCAGAGCTTTTTTCCCAGAAACCATAGTTAAGCTCCAGAAGTAAAGTGAGAGAAAAACAATGGGGCAGCATTGTGACCATCCTGAAGGATGTCTCTAGAGAATATTCTCTCTAGGTCTCGCCTTCAGTGACTAACGTTTTTATAGAACTTTACTGATGACAAAGTATTCTCCATATCCTTGTCCTTGCATCCATCAGAGAGAGCTGAGAAAGCCTGGCTGAGAGGGGGAAAGATCACCTAAACATTGATTAGCAGGGTGAGGCACAGTCATCAGGACAGGAGAGTCTGGTCCAGGAGTTAGAAGACATGCACCCAAATCCCTCATCTAGGGACAAAATATGGCCTCACAGGATGGGAAGGCACATTGAAAATCATATTGTTCCATGTCCTAGCCAACAGTTGTGTTTTCTACTATTAATTGTCAGTATAACCTTGGCTGGGTCAGTTAATGTTCTTTGGACCTAAGTTGCACCTGAATAATAAAGGGGTTGTACCAAATATTTTTTTAAGAATGCTTACATACTTTGATTTGGAGATTCTAACATTTAGAAATTAATTTCCCAAAACTGAACAAATTGACTCAGAGGGATTCTTTCTGAGATGTACTAAGATTCTTCCAGAGATTCTCAACTACAAAGAACAACGACCCCAGGGACTTGGGACTCTTGAGCCAAAAGCAAGTACAGACACACCCTGCCTCTCATCTATACTAACTATATCTGGCCATTCATGGAGAAATCTTACTCACTAAAACTTGAGAAGGGAGGAAAAGATCCTCTGAACGATTAAGAAAGAAAAAAAAATATATATATATATTGGGAGAAGGCCTTGGGGTAAAGGGATAGGAAGATTAAGGGAGAAACTACTGAGTTGCCTTGTAGCCCACTTGGTTGGGCAAGAGTCTGAAGCGAAACCACTGCTTTTTTGGGGGGTGGGTGGGGGGGGGTGTAATTTCTGTGATAAGGGATTGAAGGAAATGTTGAGTCCCATGGCCTGGGGGTTGCTAGAAGATGCCTTTCAAGGGAAATTGCCTGGGGCCACAAATTGTTGCTGGAGATAACTAGGGGCTCTTGGATCAGAGGATCTAGGGATGTTAGTGTTTAGGAGAATGGTCAAGGAAACTGGTCATCTACTGGGGAGCTGTTCCAGGACACATTGTTGATAGGTAGACCCCTTAGGCTCTTGGAGGTCCCAGTTGCCAAAGGGGGGAGGTCGGGCTGAAGGATCTCAGGCTAGTTAGCGGGCACGCCCTTGTCCGGGCCTGCAGTGGCCGCTCTCGCCAGCTGGCCTAGGGCCCTGTCCCACTCCCCTCTCCACCCCAAACCTAAGAGGGGTGCGCTCCGGGTCCCGCTGCTGAGCCAGCTCCCTCCTCTGCTCCACACCCGAGCCAAGCTGGCGGAGATCCCGGGGGACAGGGTGGAAGGCACCACCATGGCACTGAAGGGGCGTGGGGGCGGGGGGAGTGGGGAATGCGGCAGCTTGCCGCCCCCCCCGCGACCAGCCCAGCCCCCGTTACCCCCCCCTCCACCTCCAACCGAATGGTTTGCTCCAAGCGCCCTATTTAATCCCGGCGACTGCTGCAGCGCCGGCTCCCTCCCGGTCCCCGCCTCGGCCCCGGGCTCCCAGCGGCTCCGGGGCGCCCTTTCGGTCTGAGTCGTCAGTCTACTCCAGCCCCAGCCCCTAGGGACCCAGGCTCGCCCGCGCCCAGCAGGGAGCCAGCCGGGAAACGTGATGGGGGTTTCTTCCGTCCTTCCCCTGCTCTTGCTCTTCGCCTGCTGCTGGGCGCTCGGCAGGGCCAACCTCTCCCAGGACGGTGAGTGAGGGAGGGGGCAGCGCCAGGGGAGGTAGGCTGCTCCCGGGGCGGGGGTTCCGAGCGCCACCGGGGGAGGAGGGAGTCTGTGGGCTTTGTTTGGAGCCTGGGGTTCCAGTCGCCAGCCGCTAATACCCCTGTGCCTGTCTGAACATTCGTGTCTCTGTGGGTCGTGGGTGTGCCGGGTATGCACGTTCCTTGTATACCGTCGAGTGACTGCGTGTGCACCGCGGTTGGGGTCTGCTGTGTAGCAGCCCGGGGTCCGGATGTGTTGATGTCCGTGTCTGGGTGTGCGCGTCTCTCTGTTGGTGTCTGGTTCTGCGTTCCTGTGTCAGCATCTGTGTGTATGTCTGTGTCAGTGTGTGCTGGGGGCGGAGTGAGACAGTCAGGGCGTGTGTCGGATGTTTGTGTATGTATGTCTGGAGGGTTGGGTGACCAGTGCAATCCCCCAAACTGCTATATGCAAACATTTTTGCTCCCCCACCCGTGGCAGAGCTCCGAGTGCCCAGGGAAGGGGGCCTGGGTGAGGCTGTTGAGGGGGGCGTGGGCAAGGAAGGGGGGGGGGAGCCTTCTCCTTGGAGCAAAACAACAACACAGGGCGGAGGGGACCCCGGGAAGGCAATATCCTTAGCGGTGGCTGAGGCTGGGAGAAGAAACCCAGACCGGAGAAGGTGGGGGTAGGTTAGGTAAAAGGAAGGATCAAGAAGATTTGGGGGAAGGAGGATGCACGGAAAACCCGACGCTTTCCTAGGCTAAACATTGATTTTCCCAGATTTCGGGTGGAGTAGCACGCCCAGCCCCTTTTGCCCCAGTCGGGAACTCTAGCCTTCTTTGGTTTGTAATGGTCGACAAGAAGGAAGGGGGGGGAGGGTAAGGAGGCGGGGCCCGGGGTGAGGGGACTTGGGGAAAAGCCCCTCCTGTCCTGGACCAGGCTATGTAGGTCAGCATTGTGTGGGCACCTCAGCTTTCTTAAAGGCTGCTTATGGTTAATGGGGTGGCAGGGGCAGTTGGTAAGGAGACCAGGGAGACAGCCAGAGAGCCTTGGGTCCCAGAGGAGCGAGGGCAGGCGGTGACGGGACTAAAGGAATGCATCTTCCAGTCTCCTCCGCCCGAGTCAGAGCGGGGGGCTGGGGTGGGGGAGGGAGAAGAGGAACTGGGCACTCTGCGGAGCAAAGGGATGTGGGGAGAGTGAGGGGGAGGGTGGTGGCTATGCCAGGCCAGATGCCAACGAAAAACAGAAAGAACCGCAGGGGAGGAGAAAAGGGAGGAGGCTCCTGGGTGATGGACCCAGTGGCCAGCAGGGATGGGCACAGGGTGGGGCGGCGGGGAGGG